TAAATAAAAATTATTTTACTTCTGTAGTGGGATCTCCCTCGGAACATCTTTTTTTGTTATTGGCTGACAACGATCATCATGTCATATGGTTCATAATTCCAGCAGGGGATGGCCCACTCTCTCTTATCATGAGCCACACTTCCACAGGCACCGTTAACCTAGGGAGAAATGAAAATTTTACTTTTGTAGTGGGACCCAACATATAAAATCATATTTAATTCTTGTTTGGGCCACATCTTTTGAAAATTAATATTTTAAAATAATTTTACACGTAAATTTAATTCATTTTTATTTTTTAATCATACATTCTTTTAAAAAAATCACTCTTTCCAAACATAATTTTCTCTCAAACAGGACTTATTCACTTTTATAGAAGATAAAATGAAAACTAAAAATAAATAAAAGGTTATTTGGGAATGATACGAATCCATTAGATTGTTCCTTTTTGCCTCTAAACATTAGATACCCTAAGAATTAGGATACCTTGCCCTCATACCAAAGGACAATTTATTTTCGATACCAAAGGACAATTTGAGTATGCCTTTATTGTATGTATAGGCGAGCTGGACTGTACTGCTAAGCATTGTGTTCTTTGTGATTCATTCTCAGAATTCTTCCTTCCTTTCATTAATTACTCCATCATCATCCAGGTGAAAGCATTAATCTTTTTCTTTTCTTAAACTCGCTGAATAGCACATTACTTTATAGGATAAAGATCTTAATTTTGATCTTAACTGCAAGATTGGGGAGTTTCAGTCATCATTATTTGTCTTCTAAAATAATGCTATCTAGGATTGTGAGCATTGGGAAAGATTCATGATCCGGCATAATCCATCTTGAAAATCTCCAATTTTAGTCTTTCCAAGTCAAAGTTTTACATTTCTGGTGGTGGTGTGCTTGATGTGGATAACTCATAGTAAAAATGAATTGTTGATGAAGGAAACCATTTTCATGAGGATTTTGTTTTGCAAGATCAACTGTCCATTCATTTGCTTCTGCAAACCCTCTGCTGCTCATCTTTACACTTCTGGGAAATTAAAATTGGAAAATGCCCCACGTGTACCTTCAACAGATTTTACTGTTTCTGATACCACTGATGACAATGTAACTGGAGGAACCACTAAGGTAAAAAATGTGAGATTAAATGGAAAGCTGGATGCTGAGTATGTACCTAAGAGCTGTATTAAAAAGCCCTCTTCTGGGCATGATGCCTCCAACGAGATCGAAAAGAAAAAAGTTCAATGGAAGGATAACTTAGGGAAAGAACTTGCTGAGATCAAGGAGTTTGAATCCAGGTGCCTTCTCTCTCTCTCTCTCTGATGACTTTGACTAGCCTATTTGATGAGTTCCTGGAGTAGAATTGCACGAAATGAGTAATTTTTTTTGAAGATGTTATTAGATTTTACTTCATATTTGTGTTAAGCCATAACTGAGTCTGGGGCAGATTCAGTAAAGATGCTGATTAGAATTTAAGGTCCCTTAAAAGTAGTATTGTCAATATCAAAGTTGCACCACAAATGGGGTTGGGCCAATATGTGTTATTTGAATAACTGCAGAGTCTTAGTCCTACAAAGATGGAGATTGAGGAAAAACATTTTTGCTCAAAAGTCAATAGTTCTGAGCATATGATTTGAATGCCTCATGATTTTATTGAGGATTCTAAGCTACCATGGCTTGTGATACCTCTCATTTTGTTCGGTAATTTACTCCTGGATCTGTGTATCCATCTTCTTAATCTGCTGTGCCTTTTCACTTTAGTCAGACTAAATCCAAAGGACTAGTGGAGATTTGTCATAGGTTGCCCCAAATGGACTGCAATTATCGGTTGATGAATATTGTTCCCATCATCATTAAAAGAATTCAGTTTACCCACTAGTTTGAGCAGGGGCAGTTCCAGGATTGACACTTTTTTTATTTTAAACACGGCCTAATAGGTAAAAAAAAATTGACATAAAAAAATGTCCTTCACAATTTTATTTATTTTTCATTTTTAATTTTTTTAAGTGGGCTGTGGCTGGCATGGGCTACCCTAAATCCGCTGATGAGATTGAGGATGACAAGAAGTGCCAAATTGTTGTCAAGTTCCAAACATCCTCCAAACCATGTGCCAAAAATAATTCATCTAACGGGACAATCTCATTCTCATACATAACGTCATCTACATACCTCCTTCCCAATAGAAAATTGAAGAAGACTGATGACTTACTCTTATTAAACCATGTAAGCTTATAAAAACATGGATTGTTTTGCGCCTTCATTTGGAAGTTCGTTTGGAAAAATATCTTATTTCAAAATCACAAAATAGAGACAGATTTCAAGGAATGCTATTGTCCCACGTAGAGCGTTATTCAATCCCGCTAATCACTTATTATGGGGTACGATTGGGTTCCTGCGAATCTTTTTCCAAGATACAATGAAGTTAAATTCCTTGATATTTACGCTACATACTAGCAAAACTAAGCTCAAAAATGACGTAAGACTTTTTACTTGATTTCTTGAATTGGAAAATAACAATTTCTGCAGCAATCATATTTTCTACTAAATCAGGATGTGGAGGAAGAAAGGGAAAAGTCATTTTTGCATGTTTTGTGTTCTTGATCAATAAAAAAGACAGAGCTTTATGGATCTGTTTGTGCCTCTTTAAAAAGAGACAGGACCCTTCCTCAATTTCTTTTTCAGAAATTGCCCTGTTTGGTACTCATTAAAATTTTCATTCTCATTCTTCTACTCATTTTCAAACACACATTCTTCATTAAAACAATATTTTCCATCACATCAATAACTTTTCCTTCTTTTTCAACCACACATTTTTCATCAATCTACTATTCTAAAATACATTCTTCCAAAATAATATCCATCAAACACATGAGCCTTCAATTTCTTCTAAATTTATTTTGAAATTGTTCCAACAATTTTATTGCCAACTTTGTGAAATCATGTTCCCGTAACTGACCCCGTCAATAGTTACACCACAGACTTTACCATGAAAAAGTGTAACCAGAAGAAGTAGAGGAGTTTGCTGTAATAGCAAGCTCAGAAGAAGCATGTCCTCTGTTGAAATAGCTTTCCTTATTAAAGAATGTCTAGAAGCTTCCTGAAAATACAAAGTTCGACCCAAACTACACCTAGAGAGGGGCGAATAGGTGATTATATGGAATTAATAACTTAATAATTAACTAGCAAC